ATTCCAGTGGCTTCCTGATGCTGTCGTTCCCAGTGTTGTTATTCCAGTCCCCTCTTTGCCTTCTCAACTCCCCATCACCTTTGTCGCCCATTTCTTTGATTTACTTCCCTTTGTTGAAAGGCCTGGAAGAGAATTTCATCTTCTGAGTGGACCGTGTGAAGTGTGAGGTGACCCCTTAGATTGGTGGGAAGTGGCTTGGTCAGTGTCAGCCCCTCATCCCACACCGGCCCCCACAGCACCTGCTCCCCTTCTCCCTCCGCACTGGCCCGTTCTCTTCCCAGCTACAGAGACAGCGTGTCCCCTCCTACTGCGTAGATATTGAACAATATGTCCTTTCATTTTGAAAAATCGTGAACAGGTGGCCATGATACATGAACAGCAGAAGGCTGAGTATTAATAACAGAATTTAGTGAAGTAATCAAATTAAACTTACAACAAAATGAATCTGCTGTGTATTAATGGTTTGCAGAATCATCACCGCCCCTCGTGGGGGAAATGACTGGTTAGAATTAGCTGCTGGCTAACCAACCTGTTTTTATTACCTTTGCAGAACCTAACCAGTATCTTCCAAGGCTTTTTTTTTTTTTCTTTAAATCTCTGTTAGTTTTCTGGCCTTTGTAAACAATATCAATGTTTATAGTCTTTCCTTGCTTCACTGTATGTTTTCATTTTTATCACAGGCACACACTAGTTGCTTCTGGTGCTGACAGTCTGCTTTGTGTCTACTCTCCTTCTGCGAGAGAGTCCTGGGCACAGGGCAGCAGCCACCCCAGAAGTAGTGCCAGTGTCTCCGCAGGGCTTTAAAAAGCCACATCCAAGGCTCTCCGCGCCATGGGCATTATCGCACCGAATCTTCACAACAGCCCCGAGGAGCAGATAATTTTGGTGTTTCTATTTTAAACTGAGTCACGGAGAGGTGAAGTGATTTACCCCAAGTCATACACGCTATAAGGGGAAGGGCTGCCCAAATTTGTCTGACTCTAATAGAAGATGCTCCTAATTTCTACAGAGAAAATGGCATCAATGCAGGTGAAAGGTGACAACTGTAGATAAAAGATAACTTCCAGATAAAACAGAACAACTCTTCTCCTTTCATTATCTCTGCCCAATCTCCTGGCCAGGTCTTACTCTCCCTGGTAATCGACAAGGTGCGGTGCCACTTAGCACCTGAGATCAGATGGCTAACATATATCTTTCTGTGTGATTCCTTTCTCCAGTGAAGTAGAGGTTGCATAATAATATCCTGTGAGGTGAAAGGCAGTTCCTCATGAGCCGTGTCCCGTTCCACTCCTCTCGGTGGCGTAGACAGCCGTATTTGTGAGTCTCTCCCCTGTCCTTTTCAGAAGCAGTCTACCAGGGAGTGGAGTGGGGGAGCTGTCAGCAGACCCACGCTGCTCAGCTATTCTCGGAATCCATTATTGAAGTCGCACTCTTTCCTCCCTCCTATTCAGGGGCTTGCCTGCTCCTTCTAAAGAGGTGACGGTGGCAGGCTGTGAGTCCCTTCAATTACTGGTTTCTGGGTGAACACGGTTCAGAGAATGCTAATGGGAACGCATTACAAGAGACAGCGTGAACAAAGGTCTGAATTCTAGTCCCCATGGGCTCTAGTCACATGGGCCAAAATGAAGCTCCAAAGGCCGTCCTATCCCAGTACCTGCAAAGAGATTTCCTAGTACCTGCATTTCAAGTCCTTTTGCCATAAAGACTTTTGCCTAAGCTAGAAGAATTTTCTTCATTGATTTGTCTTTCTCTCAGCTTTTTTTTCCTGCAACATTCTAAAATGCAAATGTGATTTAAAAAAATCCTGTTCTCTAGGGTGATAGTTATCTTTCCTCTCCAGTCCATCAATAAAATGAGATAAAAATGGTAAAATTATATTTTTAAAAGTCAATTAGTGAGGCAGTTCTCCTTGAAATACATTTTTCCCCATTCTAACTTTAAATTGCTGAATATGTATTTTTAGAATCTAGTTAAATTCTGTTTCTCACTCTTCAAAACTTTAAATTTGTAGGATTTAGGGTGGAGGATCTTCTCTGAGAGAGAGGGGAACATTCCCCCTAGAAATCTAGGGTGGGCTGTACACCACCTTGCCTAGGGAAGAGAGCGGAAGTCAGTAAGCTTGATCTCCCGCTGTTCCTTTCCCTCTCCTTCATTTTTACCTCTGTCTTGTTCCTTTTCCATATCTATTCCCCTCCTCTTTCCACCTGATCATGTTCTTTCAGAACATTTATTAAAAAAAACCTTAAGAAAAGGACTGACATAGCACCAAGTTCATCAGTAGTAGTTATTACATTGTAACATCTTCAAATATGATTTCCCAGTGTAATTGTAACACTGGCTGCATCAAAAGTCATCTTTTGTTGGGAAAAGTAAGAAAGAAACTCAATCATGCAGTTAGGTCAAACTTTGAGAGTTTAAGCCACCACTTATATGACCCAGAAAAGCTCTGTACAACATGAATGTAAAGCTGAGTTTAAGACAAATGAGTCATTATCAAGCATCAGGCATTTCTCTGTGTTTCAAACTCTACTGTGTCTCATGAAAACCTGAATCTTGTTGACATTGTTCCCATACAATGGAAAGTGGTTCTGACCAAATGAGAAGGAGCAGAAAACGTTAGGGGAGCTAAGAGCAGGAAGGGTAGCGTGGTGGACACAGAGGCAAGCAGGGGGCTCCTCGTCATCAGCTTTCACCCAGAGGAACTCTTACTGGTGGACGTAAGATGCTGTTACACCCACAGGAGACACATTTTGGGAGAAGTGAATCTTTTGGGGTCCCTCAAATCACACTATGTAAGTAACCCCTTGATCTACCTACATAAAAGTAAGGCTCTGATGTAGACTCTCTGAGGCCTGTTTAGTTATCACATTCAAGCTGTCTCAGCCCAGAGGTGAATAGTCCCAGCATGTACCATTGACATGTGAACAGCCAGGAGAAGGCTTCCCAGATCACAGGTCAATTTCCTAGACAAGTGAAATTCTACTTCTTCCCCTGGTCCTAGTGATGTCAATAGCACCTATCCCCTGCACTCTGCATAAGGAATTCCATCCACCTCCCAGGCTTAACTGGCTTTGCTCCAATGTTCCTAACGAAGTGAACTGCCTGCAGTTCAGAACGAAGTGTTTCAGAGCTTCTAGTTGATGGAAGAGAAGTCAACCTACAGGCCGGCTGGGTGCAGCATGGCTCAAAAGTTAGCTGGGACAATCAGATCCTTGTCCTCTACAATCTGCACTGGGAGATGAAGAGGCTGGATGAGTTACTCGTGGAACTGAAGATGAAATTTTACCACATGTTTAAATCTGGATCACAATAAAACTAACTCATGGGCAAGTCAAAGTTCGGTGGCAGTTTCTGCAAGGATCAAATAAGTCAATTTTTGTGAAATATTTAAAACATTTTATGGCACATAGAATATACTTAATAAGGAATGGCTAGTACTGGTATTAGTTTGTATCTCGATGCTGATGACATGGCTAGAAAGATGCCTTTGTAGAGAAGCATATGAATTAGATGCACAGGGAGAAAGCTAGATGTCATGAGGGAGAATCCAGGCCCAAAACTTGACTCCATTACTTTCAATTTCAAAAAACATGTTTCCCTTATATGGATGCCCTGTCCCTTCAGGTAACTTGGGAGAGATTCTGTTCTTTTCAGCTAAATAAACCCAGTAAGAAACTCCCTAATTCAGAGAATAAATTAGGCAAAATGAGTTGCTGTTCCTGAGCCATTTGTAGCTTTTTGGCACAGGATGCCATGTCAAGACAATGAGCTTTTGTGAAATCCTAAAACCCTGGTGCATGTTTTGTACCCAAGTGTGTATTAATCTCTATCAATTAATTTAATAATAATTTCAATGCCTTCTTCATTACACAGATGAGCTGATAAAATTTGGCCTGTAAATTTTCACAGATTCTGTTTGTAAAGTGTTGGGATAATGAACTAATTGAAAAATTTACCCCACAGGCCAATTCTGAGACAAGCCCCTTTGAGAGCTGTGTTCTAGGATTGAAGACATATTTGTGGATATAATAACCAAGACACTAACCATAGGTTAAATCATTTGGCACTTACAATTAATGAGAAAAAAAGCAAGCAGGAAGATCATAGTGATCCTAACACTGTGCAGTGCTTTGTTTTGAATGGAAAGAAAAATAGAATTTTATTAAAACTGAAATAAGGATCGTGTTCTCAGACTAGAGTCAAAATGAGGTGACAAAACAAGTAACTCTCTGGGTGTAGAAGGAGTAACAGCCGCAGAAGAGGAGGACCAGCTAACTGGAGAAATAATTAGGACTGGAGAAATAAATAGTTAGGACCAGCTAACTGGAGACATGTGTTTTAGTAAATATCACCTGTCCCTGCCTCCAAATTGTGAGTTATGCTTTTGAGCAATGCAAGCAACCTTTTGGTATCTGAATTCTGTCTTCTTCCTTATGTTTATCTTCATTCAAAGCACTGCGTTGTAGTCAAACTGTAGACTATTTCATGAAAACATTCCTGTTTTCCTATTGCTGGTGGTTATCATCTTTTCTTTTTTTCTCTTTTTTTTTTAATTTCAGCATATTATGGGGGTACAAATGTTAAGGTTACATATATTGCCCATACCCCACCCTTGAGTCAGAGCTTCAAGCGTGACCATCCCCTAAACGTTGCACATCTCACTCATTGTGTTTGTATATACCCATCCCCTCCCCACCCCCACCACCAGCCTGACACCTGATCAATGTTCTGTTGAAAAGTTTAGGGTGGGTTTCTTATCATAGTTCTTAGAGATGGGTTTCCTCCTTTGCATGAAAGCTGGTGCAGCCATTACACTTCCCTTGTGAAGATGTTAGCATGGAAACTTCCAAATATTCAGAAGGGACGAGAAGATCGATCAATGAACTCCTAGTTATCCATTAATTCACCCAGTCGAACCTTTAATAGCATTTTGCCAACATTGTTTGAGCTATCCCTCCAATGTATTGATTTCTTTGTTTGTTTTTGCTTAACTATTATAGGCAAATAAATCCAAGACATCGCATTCCATAGATACTTTGCTATGCATAGAAGATGTCAAACATTCTATTACTGCTTTTCAAAAAAAAAAAAAAAAAGAAAGGTGAACTTGAAGAATATTCACCTCCACCACCCACCACGGCATTCCAGGTATGCAGATTTTACCTCTCCTTCAAGGTCTACTTCAAACTTGCTAAGCTCCATCTCAATAGGAACTCTATCATCTGACTTGCACATTTCAGAATTTATTTTCTGGTGTCTTGTAGCATGTCTTAAATTAACTTGATATAACATTAAATTTTATATTTTTATTTAACTTCTCAAGAATTAATGTTTCCAAAACTAGAAAAGGGAAGCAATGTGGTATAAAGGAAAGCACTCAAATTTGGACTCAGAAAGTCTCAGTTCCAGTTGGACTTCTGCCATTTTACTTAAGTTTTGTGAGCCTCAGCTTCTATAGCTATAAAATGGAGATGAAACTGGCCCAGTTACATTGTAGGCTACCCACATTCTTACATTTTAATTTGCATTTATTTTAATAACTTAATTTTTAAATATGGGATCAAAGATGTTACCCACATGAATAAATTTCAGCAGTACCAGAAGCGTTGACTGATATTTTTAATCCAATAAAATAGCAGAAATGACATACATACACCAAAAAAGTTTTCTGTGAAGATTAAATGATTAAATAAGACAATGAATATGAAATGGCTGGTTCACAGTAGACTGCAATAAATGGTACCTATTATTATTAGCTTGTAACTAACTACCTGGAAGCAAGAGCCTGTGTCTTAGAAAACTCATTTCCTTCCCCACTGAGCTTAGCCTTGTGACTCACACACAATTGGGAGACGCTCAGTTAGTATTTAGATCTTTAATGTGCTGATATACCAGGTAGAATAAGGTTTACAAATTAGAAAAAAAAAAAAACAAAAAACCTTTTATATAGAGAGTATTTTCCACACTATCTGGAGAGAAATTCCGTATGATTTGAAATCACAGGATAAAGGACTAGATAGGATGGGTCCTGAGACTCAGGTACAAATCCTTATTCTAGCCACATGCAAACAGGGGATTTTGAAGGCTGCCTCCAGCAATATAAAAGAACCTCAAAGCTGTGACTCAGCACAGGTTTTAATACTCTGATTTATCTTTCTCTAATCTCTTCCTCAAGGTCTGAACGAATCCACTGGGCAATTTAGCAGAAATAGTAGACAACCTCCGCTGTGCCCTTGTGTTCTGGTAATCCTCCCTCAAACCCGTGAGCAATTTCCAAAATCCTGCCTCATTCTTCTAGCTCTGGCATAAACATCTTAGAAAGACTTGTAAACCAGAGCAAGAATGCAAACAATCTGTCAGGTCTGTGTGTTTGCATGTGCTTGCTAAGTCTAGAAGATGTATGGCCACAGCTCCAAAGAGCCAAGCAAGGTAACTGAAAGTTGCTCTGTTGCTAACATCACGTCTACACCTAGGAAAATGGACGCATGTTTGATTGTCAGCAAATCCCAAGTGCTCTGATTCTCCCTGCAGTCTATTCAAACCCAGGAACCCAGAACCCTGTGCTATTTCTCCCAGAGCTACTGGGAAGGGCCCCTGGGTTTTCCCAGGGGATGGAAGGCTAGAGTCGCCAGGCTGGTGACAAATTGCTGTTTGGTATTATTAGCAGGTATTAGTGGAGGCTGGTAAAACCTCTCTCCCTCCTTCAGCTCCCTTGCCTGTCAATATTTATTGATTCTCCATAGTGTTCAGAGCTGTGTTTAACTCCAGACTTTTCCCTTCGCTTCAGCCTCTCCTTGTTAACAGGGTCATCTTCCAGTTCTGGGTGGAAAAATGGATCCCTTTCCCTTCCAAAGCAGAGAAATTCAACTACATGTGATCACATTTTTTTCTTTAATGTGTTGAAAACCACAGTTTGTCCACTGCAGATAAAATATTCAGAGGACAGAGAGTGTGGGTGCTGGTCAAAAATTATTCTCAGCCTGGAGTCCATCGTGGCCGTTAACTTGACACTTGGGGAAGACAATGCGGGTGACAGCTCCTCTTAGAGTGTCCCTACCCAGAGAGCAGGGTTGCTTGATCTGTCCATGTCTAGCATTACTGTGGGGCCCACATTCAGAGAAACGGGGTGAGCCTGCAGCGCTGAGAACCGACAGGCGAGATGAATGAACTTTGTGTTCATTTTAGAGTGCAGGCAGAGGTTGGAGTAGGTGGAAATGAATCAGTGAAATATGCCAGCATCTGCTCACTCCCTGTTTCCTGACGTGACTCACTGCCCAGCTCCTCCTGCCGCCCATGACTCACCGTGCAGAGAAGCTGGTTTCTAAGGAGACCACTGAGGTCTGGGCAGCAGCCGCCTGTGTAGACACTGTGCTCACGTGGTCATGGATCCTGCTGTCTAGTGACCCCTGCACCTGGACATGGTGGCTGGGGGCTTCCTGAGAAAGCCTTCATTTCTTTAAATGTCATGAGAGAGAGGGAGAGAGAAAAAAAAAATTTTTTAAGGTTATTCTTGAATTTATTCACAGACTCACATCCCTGCTAACAATGAAGTCCTTTGTCCACAATAAGCAATTTATTCATGTTCTGGCCAGCAAAGCTGTGCTGAACACCAGGTACATCTGGAATAACTGAGGGGGCAGAGGAAAGAACCAGGAATGGAAAATAGAAAACATAAAGTGGTATTCCAATAGAAAATGCGAGTCCTTGGCATATAATTACATAATAATGGCTCACATGTTTAGTGCTTACTATTGGCAGTGTCTACTGCCAATAAAAGATCAATAAGCCCAAAGGGTGGGGGTATGAGTTCCCCAGAGAGTGGCTCTTCTGCAGCTCATGGGTATAGAGAGAGCATTCGATAAACCCATGGGTAGGACCTGCAGGAGTCTTTCTTTCCTCTCTGCCGTGCTTCTCAGAACCTCAGTTAGCCACGCAAAAGAGTGCAGAAGTTTCCATCTAACTTGATTCATTGAATGAGTTTGAAAATAATTATAATATTGTTTGCCAGGAAAGACTTTCTGGCACAATATTCCAGAAGCTTCTGCCCTTAAAGAGTGAACTGTTTTCCCTGAATACCTATTTGTACTTTTTAATAGCTTCAAAATAATTTATCGTAGTCAATGGAAACTAAAACATCAACTGTCAAAATTATCATAACTTTGAAACTAGTGGATTTTAAATTTTAATGAGCTTTTTATTAGGCATTTTGTTCCGTTAACTTTTTATGCTACTAACACTTGTCATAAAAAGGGCATGGAAACATTGCATGGTTTTAAAAGGCAAGAAAATTCTGAGGTACTAATTTTCTATTTGACCTTACGTTTGATACACTTAGGACCTTGCAAAGGAAATACGTAATTCTACCATCAAAATCAGTTTTTCATCAATTCAGAATCTTTAAAGAAAGTCTAAAGTAGCCTTATCATCTGAAAATAAATCTTTCTGAGAAGAAATTATTTTTTTCTGGAATCCTTTTTTAAATGTGACTTTATCTTAAAGTTGTATGACAGAATATCTGAAGTACTCATTTCTTATATTCATTACTTTGCATTTTCCTCAGAATGCTGAAATTACTCCTACTGAACAAGCCTGTTGTGTCTGTGAAGGATGTTCTTGCACCTTCTGTAGCCTGGGAGGCAGCGGGAATGAACTCTGGATCGGATTGTGTCTCCTTCCCTCCCCTCTCTCTCTCCCTCCTTCCTTAATCTCTCCCCTCTTTTCTCCGTTCCTCCCATTAATAAGCATTTTTCAAACCCTAGAGTTGACCACATATTTAGTCTTCTACCTGTGCTCCAGGTTTCTTTGGAAGTTTACATACAGTGATGGTATCTCGAGGTCCTACCAAAGATTCAATGCAGAGAGGATCCTCCATCCACTAAAAGGAGGGGAGGGAGATGTGGGGAAAGATGATGTCATATTCTTCATCTTTTTATAAGTGTCACCAAATTGGGAGTGAGGGGATCACACATTTGCAATACCCAAAGAGGATGGATCCTCTTAGGGATAAGGGAGGGTGGGCAGGAAAGAGGCAGATGGGACTCAAGTGCATCTCTTCAGCACATTTACACTTTAAAATTCCATTTCAGCTGGCAACGTTTGGCACTAGATGTGGTTTTGCTGAGAAATAAAAAGGAAGGGAGGGCAGGAGAAAGGAATAAAATCATTAGAGTTCTCCAGAGCTAGGTCTAGGTCAGGAGTAAAGGGGAGAAGTAAGTCTTTATGTTTGTTTCTTCATTCTACTGCCCACCTCAGAAGTAGGGAAAGATGAAGCAATTGAGGGCCCAAGACCAAGTCTAGAAAAAAAAGCAATCACTCTGTGCCTGTTAGAATGAATGACTTAACAGGGTTCATCTGGAGACCAAGAGGATGCAGTCTTAGTCCTACTATGCTCCCGGCACTATCTCAGTCAAGCATTCTCTATCTCCAAGGAGCTTATGACATAACAGGTCAACATACTATGAGGACAGAAAGAGGAGACATGTCATTTTGGAGAAAATGGGGGAAGATTTCTTGAAAGATTGATTAATGTTGGAGTATGGTTTTGAAGTAGGTTTTGGAATGTGAATAGTTTTAGTATTGAGAGAAGAAGGTAAGTTGTAGGGAAGGTTATCAGGCACTTTGATAAAAGGAGAAAGTTGTGAAAGTGCACAGTTTTCAAAAAACAGTGAATAGGTACTACAATTAAAAGCATAAGTTATAATGAGAAGTTACAAGGTAGTGAAAGAAGAGGCTGAAAATATCAAGGTCAGAATGTAAGTTGAATGTCTTGATGTCTTGCTGGAGACTGGCAATGGACACTAGAGAGCCCTTCATTTCTTTCTGGGAGGAGTGGGGTTGAGGATGGGGTGGGAGGTAGAATGGGCAGTGAGATTGTATCTCTACTTTAGATACCTGTTTACAGGAGTATGGAAGATGTGTGGGAGAACTTCTGATTTTTGAACTCTAGCTGCTTGTTGTAGGTTGGGTTCGTGGGAAGCAGACTATGAGATGGCAGGAATTCATTAGGGATTGCCTTTAGGATCCATACCTGTGAGGGAGTAGAGGCAGCAGGGTTAGTCAGAGGAAGAAGTTGCTGCTACCATCATGGCAAATGCTTCAGGTTATTCCAGAGGGCGACCCAGAGCTGAGATGGCCATGCAGAGTTGTATCAAACTGGCACAATCGGGGTTAGGCCTTATCTCCATATCAACAAGTCATTGAAAAAAGAAAAGGGCTTCATGACCTTGGTCAGCCAAGGTCAATCAGCAGGAGGGAGTGCTCAGCTGCAAGCTTGCTGCTGTCAACACTCTCAGCAACTGGGAAAATGAGTGCTTGGGTTCAATCCCAACCCAGGGTCTCCAGTCTCCATACATTGGCACCACCATATACCCTGTTGATCATACCCAAAGCTGGGGACTTCTTTGGCTTCTGGCTTTTCTTTGTACCCTACATCCACTCCATCAGTCAGTCCTGTCAGTTCTTCCTCCAAGGTTGCCTCTGTCTGCAAGGAGAGTATGTTAATCTTAGTTCCAGTCCCTCATCTACCACTGGGACTATTACAACAGATGCCTGAGTAGTTTCCCTGCTCCTGCTGTTGCTTTTTTCTATGTCGTATCATGTCAATGCCTGGAACCTGGTGAATAATCAATGTATTATACATTAAATGACCTCAGAAGATAGCGATCTCTGTAGCCACAAAGGGACCGCTATTATGGTAAAGCGGAGAATGTGTTGGCCCCTGGACTATGTAAGGAAAAAAATAAGAGAAGAAATAAATTTTGGATATTAAAGCATATTTTGAAAGGGTAAGTACCATACATGTCAACACACACCAAACACATTTCAAAGATTTCAGTTAACTCATTAATGAGAAAACCACTAAGAAGTTACAACCTGTTCAAAGGCAAATTGAAAGTATCACACATACATAAGCAATAAGCAATGCTGAAATGAATTAATAAACAGTTGCAAAATTGGCTTATTGGAGAGGGAGAGGAAGAAAGCAATTACATTTCCACCAGACAGGATGTATTTGCATCTCTATGAACAAGAATCATCTCTAATGTTATCAGCCATCTATAAGTCATAGAGACATACAATTGTTCAAAGACAATGAAAGTTGCAGAAACCCTATAGAATCAGCTAATCCAGAACGATGTACTTACACAATACCTAGTTTGTTATTGAAGATACCCAATAATCTTTCTGGCTCATTTCAAAGCCCTTCACAATTTTCTCTTTCATAAAGGAGAAGAAAGGAAGAGAGAAAAAGTAAGCAAAAGAGAATTTTCCCCAGACAGTGCTGGTGTATTCCTGTTTTTCTTGGGAAATTATTGATAACAAGTTTTTACTCTCAAAAATGTCCTGGTTGGAAGATAAGGTCTATGGTCACCCTATCTGGGTTTCACTGTAATTTCATTATTATTCACCTTAAAATATACAAGAAGAAGATGGATATAGTTGAGGTAGAGCTATACTCTGAAAAATTAAAACTAATTCAATTAGTACTTTAAGTCTAAGTGATTAATGCTATGGCAGGAAACCAATAATGTGAGTTTTTAAATGGACACAGCAAAAAATGGACACACAAAAAATGGACACACAAAAAAACAGCCATCGCTTCTTTTTCAGCTGTCTCCTAAATGGGAACCCTGATCCATCCAGTCTGAGTGGGTGTAGTCAGTCTCTGATTCCATTGGTCATTGGATCTTCTGGGATCTTAGTGGATGATAGCTCAAAGGCTTGGACAAGTTCACTTTCTAAAACATCGAGCTTTTTGTGTTTGCTGGTAATACTCCAAAGCAAAAGTCCACAATAATAGCTGTGAGTATGCGTTGAACAGGGGTTTAGAACAGAAAAGGAGGGAAAGGTCAGGATAGTGAGTATCCGATGGCTACAATATGCTGTATTCATCATTTCTCAAACTAGGTAAACAGAATGGATACCTAAATGACTAAATGTGCTTCAGATTTTGTTTGTTTTAAAAACAGTCTGATCTGTTCCATTATTTCCACTGACTCTGACAGTTACAGAAGGCATGAATCTCTTTCTTTCCCTTTTTTTTCTTTTGGTTTAGAGGGGTTTTTAAATTCTATCACCTCTAGCTCTCCTACGTGGCATCATGCAGAGAAGCAGGGAGCTTAATCATGCTCCCGAAATTGAAAGAAAACTTACAAGATAGAAAGTGCTTTTCTATAAGGCTTAGAGGATTTGCTTACTTTTTTATTTTTTTCTTTCAGACTAGGAAGTCACATTGTGAACCATAAACAGAACTCATTCCCAAAGGGATTAAGGCTAAATTTAGAACCAACAACTTAAGAACTATCTGTAAATGGAACCACATTTGAATCTGTTCTATGAACAATAGTATGAACAAATGCACACATAGCTGCTAAAAAGTTTGCCAACTGCAGGCTCCAATCAGTTTCCTTTTCTTTGGGGAGCAAATGAGAACTCTGTAAAAGGTGTCCACTCATCATTTGGAAGCCCTCCTGGAAATGTAAGGTCAGAGGGAAAATCTTCATGTAAAAGTTACTTCGGTGTTGGGCTCAAGTATGAGAATATTCTGGCTGAACTTCTGATTTGTATGTGGTGAGAATCTCTCCTAGAAATATTTTCGAATTATTGACATTTACAAAACAAGTCATTTGCCACAAAGGGCAGGTCCCTGAAGTCTGTTCTTGAATACAAAGGGAAAGTAACTAGTACAGCACCAACTCAAGCATACCAAACTCACCTTCTCAAATTGGAAGATCCATGCCACAAGCATTTTGCAGAAGCAGTTTCTGAATGGTAATAATTATAACTAACATTTCCCTTGCCCTTTATGCTTTGCAAAGTGCTTCCAACTCGAGATGGTATTTCAGAAGTTCTCAGTGTGGTTGTTATGGAGGTTAAGGAAGGGGGAGATGGTTCAGTAGCTAGTGTAAAAAGACTGCCGTTTCCAGCTGCTGTTTTCCTGGCCTTTGCTACAATGAATACCTACAGATAAGATTCTTCTGGAAAGGATTATAAACTGAGGTTGTTCTACTATTAATATTTCATAGCACCTCCCTTGCAGGACCTGTTTTACGTAAATAGTGAGTTATATACTGTATTAGAACCAGTTTCAAAGAGAGAGTGCTAATTAAACTTCACAAAATAGCCAGAAATCTGCATTCCATTTTGGTTTCACATTCAGATCAGTGCTAACATTGGTCAGACTTTCAAGTGAACAATCAAACTTATCCCTATGTGTATTTTCTGAAAACTAGGTTAATTCATTTGTATATTTGGCGAAAACTATTCTGTCAATGCCTACCTTTTTTAGATGACACAAAGATGAGTCAAGTCTCTGCCCTCCATAAGCTTATACTCTAGTAGAGAGGAGAAGGTATGCATACACATCTTAAACAATGCAAAATGTCAAAAATCTGGAAAGGTGAAGAATTAAAATCTATTTCTGAATGAGAAGAATTAGAACAACATCTAACAAAGTAAGCTTTGAACTTGGCCTTGATGGGTGTATAGTCTTTGTAAGGATGGATGAGAAGAGGTATTCGAGGGGGAGGAGATAGCATGGAGGATGGGACTCTATGGGATGTGTTTGGGAAGTGTAAGTTTTCCATTATGACAGGAGCACAAATGATGATTTAAAAAACCTTCTTAAATGAACGATATTCTTATGTGGCTCTGACAGGTTTTTTTTTTCTGTGCACAGCCTAAGAAAAACAATAACCTAAGATAAAATTGAAATTTAAACCTATACCACATGTTAACATAAAATCATAGTCATATATATAGATATGTATATACTTCTGAGTCTGTAATTATGTATGCTCACAACTGATTCATATGCCTAATTTCGTAGTTATCATTTTTCTCTTCTTTCTCTAAAGGAATAGAAAACTTATTATAAAAGTAATGCATTTTTTATCATTATGCAAGAAAAATTAAATAAGCAACCAAAACTACCACCTCAAATAATAACTGCTCACATTTTGTCTTTCTAGCTTTATTATCTACTGCATAAATACACATACATTTTAATATATTAGAAATATATTTCCTCTCATTAAATATTCTCTACAAGTATTTCTTTTGCTACATGATATTCCATTATATAGAAGTGCCATGATTTATCTAACTAATTTCCTATTGTTAGACATCTGGGTAGTGTATTGTTTTTCTCTTAAAAAATAGTAATTGCTCCAATGAACAGCCTTACTATAAACCTTTGCATATGTCCATGAAATTTTCTTAGGATAAATATCTAGAAGTGGGATTCCTATTTCATGGACTGTGTGTGTAGTCTAATTCTATTCCAGAAAAATTGTACCTTTCTTGACTCCTACCTGCAGTAAAGCTATATTACTTTTCAAAGAAAATGATATAATCTCTCAGGAGGATGGGATAGTCAGAAACACAGTACAACTTTTACATTTGGGCAGAGACATTAAATCACTAAGACCTGTGTGTAGGGAGTTCTCCAGCTGATGTATCTTTTGCCCAGAGAACCCCTCCTTTATCCATGAATAAGCACCAATTGCTATTCTCTGCATCACGGATTCCTCTCCATTACCAACTTGGCCTTGAAAACACTTCTATCTACTCCTAATATAAGCCATATGAAAAGCTAAGGTTTGCTGCTATTTTTCATTATGCTGAGACTGATCACAGAGGCATACCGTGGCAATCACAGATACTAACCAGGCAGTAAGTAAGGGCAATTTCATTACAAGTGCACGCTTGCGTTTTATGCCCCTTAATCACTGTTACTGCTCCCCCAAGCAGCACAGGCTCCCAGCTTGGATTTTGACAATACCTCCTGTGTCAGAGGAATGCTGCAATGAAGGTGAAAGAGGCTGCTATTGCCAGGAACAGTTACCTGGCACCCGAGGCAGAGGCGGTTTAAAAAGCCTCTGTGTGCATTTACACTTGCTCCATTGGCACACACGGCCTTACTCAAAGAATAATGTTAATGCAGGTCACAGTTTCTATCTGGCTCAGTGGTTTTATGTTTTTATAGCCTCAGGATGTTTAATGAGGTTCCTTTTCTGCCCATCTCTTCAGAAAACCTACCTGACTCGGCTAAGGTCAAGGGTACAATGGGAAATGTCCTGAGACCTGAAGAGCAGCTTGATCTGAGATATCTGGAAGGCCCATGTGCTACACGGTGCTTCTTCACAAAGCATCTATCACCTTGGAGTCACGATTATTGAGTAAGGATCATAAATTAAATTTAATTAAATTAAGTGACATTGGGAAAACGTCCGACCAGACAGAAATTTAGCCAAATAGCTATTTCTGAACTACAGTGATAAGGAAATCAGTTCCATGGCTAGTGGTTAATGAAACCCAACTTCACAGTATTTCCCTGATATCTAGCTCCCTGGAATGGCACTTCCAGAAAATCCCTACCCACAGTTGGCTCTAAATGGATAATGTGCCAGGTACTGTGAATGTCCTTAGAAACCGTGTTAGCCTAATAATTCTTTGTGTGAGAGGCTTTTCTGTGGCTAGTGTTGGCTGATGGAGAAAGAAAGAGCCACTAGTTATGGACGGTTACCCACATTGGGTAAAATGTGTAAAACAATGGTCCCACAGTACTCATGGGCAGGGAGGGGTGTGATGCAAAATATTTCACACCCAATATGTCAGGCACCAACCAATGAAAAAAGACATAGCCTGATCAGAACAGACACCAGCTGTGAAGAATTAATAATTATGCAACATGCACTCCCTGAATGTTAGCCTTGCTTGAGGATAACAAAAGCAACATCCCTTACCAAGAAGCTACCATGCACTAGATACGTATGCTAGACACGGGGGCCACATAAAGGCATAGAACCCTGTAACATCAGTATAGCAGTATAATAGGAGGAAGGATGGAGTAATAGTAATAGTAATAGCAACCATTTATTAAGGCCTTACTAGGCACTGGACACTACTCGTAACATTTCACTGAATCTTCCCAATAACCCTACAAAGTAGGCATTAGCATCAGTTCACATGGGTAACTGAAGTTCTGAGATGTTAAATAACTTGCCCAAACTACTCAAATGACAGTTATCAGAGTCGGAATCCAAAGCACTCTCTCTTTAGGAGCCCATATTCCCTCTACTATGTCATGTTGCATATCCTTGGAAAATCACTGGTCTTGGCTCTGCCTTTAGCCAATCAGACAGGCTCTTCAATCTCAATATCTTTATCATAATATTAGGATAATAACTTCTTCCTAAACTATTGCACACAGATTTTTTTTTGAAAGCAGGAAGTAAGATAATGTAAATGTTAGCACTACATAGTGAGATTCTGTAGGATAGGAACTGTGTCTGCATGTCTTTGTGTTGAATACAGTGCTCTGAACACACTAAGTGCTCAAAAATTTTAAATGCATGCTTAAGATTCTCAGCACATTTGCTTTATTAGTAAAGCATGGTCCCTTCTATGAGTGACTTGCAACTTAGTTGGTTAGATAGGATTTATACATTAAAGGTAGAATAACATTCTAAGGTAGCAAATGCTAAGTTCCAAACAAGTGGTATGGTCATCAAATATGAGAGAATTTTCCTAAAGTAGGTGGTCTTAGCTTTGAGAAAGCAGATTCAGGTAGGGCCTTGGGAAGGTAAACAAAAACTGTGGATCTGTGAAGAGGAAAGGGCTATTTGGAAACTGGAAAATGCATGATCAAAGACATGCATTTGGAGTTGTTTGATGTTTTCTTGTTGGTTTGCTTGAGTTCTTTATAGATTCTAGTTATTAGCTCTTTATTGGATGTAGGCATGCAAATATTTTCTCCCATTTTGTAGGTTGTCTATTCACTCTATTGATTGTTACCTTGGCTCTGTAGAAGCTTTTTAATTTAATCATGTCCCATCTGTTTATTTTTGTTGTTGCTGTGACTGCCTTTGGGGTCTTCTTCATAAATTCTTTGGCAAGGCCAATATCTATAAGAGTTTTTCCAACCTCTTCTTCTAGAATTCTTATAGATTCATGCCTTAGGTTTAAGTTTGTTATCCATTGTGAATTAATTTTTGAGTGGTGAGAGGTGCAGATCCTGTTTTAATCTTCTACATGTGGCTATCCAATTTTCCCAGCACCATTTATTGAATAGGGATTCTTTTCCCCAGTATATGTTTTTATCTGCTTTGTCAAAGATCAGATGGCAATAAGAGGATGGTTTTATGTCTGAGTTCTTTGTTTTAACCCATAGGTCTATGTCTCTGTTAAAAAGGGAGATAAAGATAACAGAAACTTTTCAAAAGAAGATAGACTAATGGTGAATAAACACATGAATAAATGGTCAACATCTCTGATCATCAGGGAAATGCAAATCAAAACCACAATGAGATATCACCTAACTCATTGACAGTGAGAATGGCTTTTAATCAAAAGTCTCAAAACAACAAATGCTGGTGTGGATGCAGAGAGAAAGGAACACTTAAACACTGTTGGTGGGACTGCAAATTAGTACAACCTTTATGGAAAGTAGTATGGAGGTACCCCAAAGAACTAAAAGTAGACCTACCATTTGATCCAGCAATCACACTACTGGGTATTTACCCAAAGGAAAAAAGATTTTATGAAAAAGACACTTGCACTCGAATGTTTATAGCAGCACAATTCACGATAACAAAGATGTGGAAACAACCCAAATGTCCATCAATGCATGAGTGGATTAATAAAATATGGTATATGTATACTATAGAGTACTACTCAGCCACCAAAAATGGTGAATTAATACCCTTTATAACAACCTGGGTGGGACTGGAGACCATTCTTCTAAGTGAAGTATCATAAGAATGTAAAAACAAACACCACATGTACTCACTATTAAACTAGAACTAATTGATCAACACTCATCTGCATATTTGGTAGTCAAATTCAGCGGAAACCAAGCAGGGAGGGAAGGAGAAGAGGGGACGGGTAAATTCACATCTCATGGGTACAGTACACACTGTCTTGGTGATAGGCACGCTTATAACTTTGACTCAAATGGCACAAAAGAAATTCATGTAACCAAAATGTTTGTACTCCTGTAATACTCTGAAATAAAAAAAAAAGACATGCATTTGGGAAGTGCGATGTGCAATTTGTTTGGAGATTAGTAAACAAATCTCTTTGACTAGATTAAAAGTTATTTTTCGTAGCACAAAATGGCAGGAAGGATAAATGTTCAAGAGTCAGGCAGACAGCACCACTCAAATTTTTATATATGGTGCTTCTAAAATTATATATATATATATACATATATATATAAAAGATATCAATTCCTCTTATTCTTTTCTCAGAACAATACTCTTCGACGTGAATACATTTAAAACTATTGAATTGCACAATTAAAAATGATTCAGATGGTTAACAAATAAAACGAAACAATAACAAAAAAAAAAACCCACCAATACTCTTTATGGAAATGTCCAATCTAAGGGCCCCAAGCTCTATAATTATCTCAGTTACAACACTACATTTTAATTGGTTGTTTTCTTTCCCATCTCCTGCATATACTTAATTTCTTCCTTATTGGTTGGTGTTTCTTTAGGATTTAGTGCCTAGCATATGGTATATGCTCAATATATTTTGAGTGAATTAAGAGCTTTAAAGTAAGCAAAAATTTTAAGTGAGTTAAGTTCAGCTCACAACCTTAAAACCTCCCTTAACATTATTGAGAATTCAGTCAATGTTAATGAGTATATATTAATATAATCCACATGTGTTGCGCATAAAATGGTTAACAGCAAAGCCCAAGACCTCTGTATCTACTGGGACTTTTTGATCATTCACTATAGGAAGTACAATAGCATGGTCAATAACTTCTGTGCAGATAAGGAGATTTTATTTCAGGTAAATTGTTCTCTTCTAGGCAAAAAGCCAGGGAGACCCATGTAATCCTCACCATGACTTTGGCACAAACACAGAGCATTCAGAGTAAGGAAGCAGAAAGAGAGAGAAAAACAGACAGAAAGACTTCACCATGTAAAGGCAACAGGCACATTGAGTGTTTTGGCCTTGTATTACTCTATTCAGGAGCCAATTAGAAGCAAGTACAAGATAGAAACAGAAATAAAACTGATGAAGACACTGTTCTCACAGGAGAGAGATGGGGAATTTCCTGCATTGCATATTAGTCTTGCTGTAAGGAGGAGAATATTTGAGAGCAGAACAGCTAAGACCCAAGAAAGCACCTTATTCTTTTATTCTCTGTCCCATATTTAACTTTGCTTTGAAATATCTTTGAAAACATAGAGAAAGCCACAAAGTTACACAGCATTAGTCACTAAGCAAACTGATCAATGATTTGAAAATACATTGAAGAAATTATTCTGAGGTGAAGAGTCTTTGGGCTGGATTGAGAATGATGTGTGAGTAGATTATTCTAAGGCCGGAGGTGTTTCCTGAGGTATTTCCCTGCTCCCCTGCACCGATGCCTTGTAACAGAGATTTTGGACTTGTCCCCCCTATGTTTCTACATCCCAAGGGAGGCTGCAGTAATTAACAACACGGCATGGCCCAGCACTCGAGGGCACCAGGAGGTTGAGTGTTGCATGCTGGTCCTAGAGGTGGAGACCAGTTCTCCATTCATTCATTCATTCCTTCATCCCATCAGTTTTTAATCCATTTGACAAAGATGGTCTAAATCTCCTTGCTTTTGGTACTAGAGGGACATACATGTGCAGGATAGATTTGGTTTCTGCTCTTATGACCTGACAGCACACCCCACAACAACAGAGAATCACAATTAAACGCAAATAAAAATAAGTGTGGTAGGTGCTTTGTTAGAGGAGAAATAGGGTACTCTGGAACACATAGCAGGAAAATATGTATCTGGGGATCTGGGGACAAGAGGAGTAGGAATCAGAAAGACAGCTTTTCATGGGAAGTGACTTTTATACTGATTCTAAAGTCAATTTAAAAAACAGTGTTGGGCGTGTTACAAGAAAAAAAAAGAGAGAAACCTGAAAATAGGAGTGTCTTAGTCAGTATGGGCTGCTGTAGCCTAACACAATAGCCCTTCATGGCCTGGCCTCTATCCATTCCCCAGTTCTAAAGTTGCTTTGACAATTTAAGGTATTTGTTAAAGCAATACCTTATTCTCAGTACCAGTGTCTGTCTTTGTCAGTTTGTGCTGCTATAACAAAATACCTGAGACTGGGTAATGTCTTTCTCACAGTTCTGGAGGCTGGAAGCCAAAGATAATGGCATTGGCAGTTTTAGTATCTGGTGAGGGTCTCTACTTCTAAGTCTTATTGCTGCATCCTCCAGAGGGGACAAATGCTGTGTCCTCACATGGAAGAAGGGATAGAAGGGAAAAAAAGTGTCCTAGATAGTTGCCCCCACCCTTTTATAAGGTCACTAATCCTATCCCAAAATTTGGCATTCCAGTTTTTGTTTCTCATTCATTTAAAATGGTTTAGTAGTATCTGAAGAAAAGGTTAACAGATTTTGTAAGAATCTTCCAGACTTCCTGATAGGGTAGTTTATTCTCCTGGAACATTAACACTGCTCTCAGAATACCCAGTGAGTGTTGAATATTGATCATGAGGGACAAAGCTTCATTATAATCAACATGTTAAATCTGATATTTGCCAAATGCCTATTAGGAGACCTTGGATTTAAAAGATAAGGTGCTATCTACTCTCAATTTCACATGGCTATTGTGGAAATACACTGAGTTGAAAGTTCAGGAATACAGCATTTTTGCCACGAAGACTTCAACACTAATATATGTGTCACCTGGATTTTATGTGGAAAAGATGAGCCGTTGCAACTCAAATAAACAGCTTTACTCCTGAGCAGTATTGGCTGAAAGATAACATATACAAACTGCATGTATTCCCTGCAAAAAAAAAAACTAGAACATTGCTTAAATATTCATAAAACAATGTCTTTAAATGTTCATCTTTATATGCTAGCTTACATCTTGCAAATAAAGGTGTTATGAGAGTTATATTTTAATCTCCAGGAAAGCTCAAATCCTTCTGGAACTAAGTATGGTGTAAATCTTAAATGGGTAATGCCATAAATAATATCATTGCGGCCTACAATTTTCTCCTACAAGTTTTTCCTCAGTTTTGCCCCAAATTTCTGTTCATGAGTGAATGATACGTTCATTCAATAGCCAACATCTATTTCTTGAGTGTTTGTTACGTACCAGGCACTGGAAGTCTCCATAGAGTGACTTTCTCTGGCTTACTTTCTAGCAGGGATGACAGACACACACAAGTAACAAAAAAACAAAATAATTGCCAAAGATTATGAGAATGATGAAGAAACTAATTCGGACTCAGTATCCTGATGTGGTCTTAAGTACTGATCTGGGATTTTAGAAGCATTTTCTTTTTAATATCTTCACCACCTTTCACTTTGAGTATGGAGGACTATGAACCTAGAGGCTACAGTCCCGCATGTAGCTGAAATTTTCCCATAATGATTAGATTCGTTCAACAGCATGGGGTCTACTTTGAGATAAATGAGGTGTCTGAAAGCTGAACTGCAGTGCAGGTTGTGGAATGTTGGAGATGACATAGGTTCTGGTGATGCCCTGTGGGGCTCTCATCTTTAGGACTGGTTGAAACAAGGTTGAAACAAGAACAAGGACTGATGACACCCTTGGGAACCAGTGTGGATTAATGTTTCAGTACTTACTGTTGAGTCTGACTGTTCAGTGTGTGCCACACACCTCCAGAAGGGGCTAGTTTAGTTTCATGAGCTCCGTGTTTTTCTATCCTCTTAGACCAGTACATGTGCAGCTGTGTCTGCAGATATGCAAAATGGTAAGACTGTTATACACGTCTTCCTCACCCTTCTCTCTCTGTCTGCCACCTTGTCAACATAACAGAAGTTGGCCATCTGGTATGGTCTTTCTAAAACAGAAATTCCCAGCCTGAAATCCTAGAACAGTGGCTTTCAAGCAAGAGAAGGAGAGATGGTAGAATGGAGAGTGGAATGGAGGAAGATTAGAATCACCAAGTGGGGGAAAATATTAAATCTCAGTGAGGAAGATCATGGTCCTTCCATCATTTCTCAATATGTCAGTAAACATAAACAGAATGGCTACCATGTGCTAGATAATTCTGAAATGAGTGTCTCTCCACGTCCTTATGTGGGAAAACCATGGCCCTGGTTCAAATAAAAAGTCCGAACATCATAGCTACTCTCAACTCCTTAATGACTCAAATTTATGGTAGCCTGGATGATGTTTCCAAATGGGAAGGTCTCAGAAACAATCAAGATATTAAATGTCTTGAGAGTGCTTCAGCAATGTGTACTGACAGCCTTAAAAATGTTCATATTGGCTGACAGTAATTGCCCATGTCAGTAAATGACAACTCTCCAAACTTTAATGCCATTCTTGTCTCCTCTCTTTCCATCAACTCATTTCCAATCTATCTGCCAATCCAAGGCTCTACATTTGCAAGAATCCAACCATCCTTGGTCACTTCCATCACTAAGAAGCTGCCATGCTGTGACTGTGGACAATTGTGACAGTCTCCCAAAGCATCTCCCTTTTGTCTCCTTTGCTCAAGTGCTCTCTCTCTCTCTCTCTCTCTCTCTCTCTCTCTCTTTCTCTCTCTCTCTCCGCCCCCCTCAGTCGCACAGCAGCCATAGTGATTCTTTTATCTGTATCTCATCTCTTCACTCCCTTGATGTCTTCCCATGTCATGTAGACTTCACCTAGCCTGCAAGACCCTTGTGTCATCTTGTTCTGGGCCTCATCTCCTGATGCTCTGAGCTTAGCTTCTGCCACCCTTTGTCTCACTCTCACTGTGTCAGTCACAATGTTCTTGCGGTTTATCAAAGATGCCAAGTGCACTTTTGCTTCCAGGGCTTCGGCACCTATCATCCCCTCAGCTTTCAATGCTCTTTCCTGAGGCATTCACATGAAGGAATCATCACTTAATTCAGAAAAGCCTTCAAACTTATCAACTGTAAACTTATCAGAAAAGCCTTTCTTGATCACACCAGCTTCTTTCACTCACTTCCTTTTCACTCTTCCCTATTGGTTTATTTTTCTCCATAGCCACTATCACCACCTGATATATATATTTATTTTCTAGCTCTGCCCACTAGAATATAAGCACATGAGGGCAGGAACTTGTTTTAGTCTCTTCTGTGTGCTGAGGACTGAAAGAGTACTCGGCATACAGTAGACTTTATTAAATATTTGTTGAATCAGTGGTTTGAGTTTATGAATGTCCTTTGGTTCCTAGCAATGTCTTTTGGATGCTTCTACAAGCCACCTACCAGATGGTGAATTACAGGGCATGTGGATGTGCAGAGCTCTTCGCAAAGTTTTGGCCTAATAGCAATTTTGGTGGTATAGCTTGGTGGTTTTCTGAGACTAAGGAGTTAAAACTGATCCCTGAAATTCATAAAAATCATACCTTCCTGCTGTGGTCTGATCATGTCTCCCCAAATTCATCTGTTAAAACTTAATCACCAATGTTATGATAGTATTAGGATGTGTGGCTTTTTGAAGGTGATTAAGTCATGAGGGCAGAGTCCTCCTAATTGGAATTAGCAACCTTCTAAGAGGGCAGGAGGAAACTAACTAGGCCCCTTTTTTCTTCCATCCAGGTGAGGACACGGCGTTTGTCCCCTCCAGAGGACACAGCAATAAGGAACCATCCTGGAAACAGAGCAAGTCCTCACTGGACACTGAACCTGCTGGAGCCCTGATCTTGAACTTCCAGCCTCCAGAACTGTGAGCAATGAATTTCTGTTCTTTATAACTTACCTAGTCTCATGCATTTTGTTATGACACCACAAATGGACAAAGCCAAGGCCATGTAGTTTGCAGTATGGCTTCTAGCTGCATTGCTGTTAAGGCCCTGCTCCTTTCCCCCACAGTTGTCTCTCAATCCCAGTACTACAGAGGCTCCTGCACCCCGTTATTGCTCCTGAAGTTGGCCCTGGCCCTTGCTGTCTGTACCTCACCTCTTTGGAGCTGAGCTGCATTGCCTGGAGGTTCTTAGAGTGGAAGTTTGTCCGGAGAGATCTACATGCATTCTGACAACTACTCTCCACGTTGTTCCCGCTGCTGCTTGTTTTATTTCAAAGGCACTTAACAAAACGAGTAATGCTCTGTAATTTTAGATCTGCCATTTTTTAAAACCAAATATAATTTTTTAAGAAATTTTTCTGCGCCATTATGTGTCTTCTAAAACCTAGTTTTAAGTGGCAGCAGTTTTTGTTCCTAAGATGTATCATAATTAAGCCTTTCACTCATTGTTGGCTATTTTGATTGCTCCCAAAGTTTACTTGTTGTAGTAGCCTCATAATTTCAACATGAATCCTTGGTGTGTGTGTGTGTGTGTGTGTGTGTGTGTGTGTGTGTATTTTGCTGCCATTACCATTTTTTGCATATATCTTTTTTTCAAAGCTTTCATTTTTTTTTCAAGATGGTTTTTTAGAAGGATAATCACTAAATACGAAAGAATAAATTTCCCTGAGCTGCTTGATAAATTCTGGACTAACTAGTTTTCGGAAAGGTGAACTCCCACCAGTATCATTGGCTCCCTCACAATGCCTTTGCCAGTATTGAGTGTTACCTTGTAGAAATCACTGTCAATTTAATAAATGAAAACTTTGATTTTATTTTAAGCAAATTGAGCAACAATTTACATTTCACAAGCGATAAGTTATACACATTTAAAGAGGTTTGGGATATTTTAAACCTATATATTATAACCAGGAAGTCACTTCTGAGTTGCTGACCTTTCTATGGTCTTCATGTCCCATTAAGTATTCTGATTTAGAGCCTCGGGTCACTTTCAGCCTTAATTGTATTTTATTATTCTCCATTGTTGGAGAATGTTTCAGTCAATTTAATCAGAAGGGTCTCTCTTCACCTTTTCTTCATTGGTTCATTTCCAGTTATAACAATGACAGATTTCCTGAGATGTTATATTAATTTTATTATCATCACAATGATTATTTTTACTTGAATGAAAGTAAGAGTAAGAACAGGATTTCAGGCTTAGAGGAGGAAGCGATTTTCTTCTTCACTGAGGAGGTATACATTCTTTATACTACTTTAAGTGAGCTGTGGTTGGACAGAAGCTAAAGGTCAGAGATTTTCAGATTTAGCAACAATTGTTTGCATTCTGTATCATGTCAGAGAGTAAACAGAAGGTAATAAAACATCAAACTCTTTAACATTTGCTGAGGAGGTTTCTGCTGCACTATTTTAAGTTAAACAAAAGATGGGCTATCCAATACCTGTTTCTTCATCACCATACTTGTTCTGGAAGAGAAACGGGTTTTTAGGGCCTAGTTTTTCCTTTTGTCCCTACATTTCTGAGACAGAGACTTAATGTCATCATGTTCTTGTTCCCTCTATTAAAACTGACTATTTATCAAGTTCTGAAAACTTGATTCATGTTAAAAGGGTGCTTCCTCCACAGTTGTATTTGTTTTCAAATAGTATGAACATTTCTCAGGTACTCAAAAGTGAATACACCCTTTGGTAAATATTTAGCTATAGCCAACTTGACTTCCAAGCACCGTCAAACATATTAGCCAAAGGAATGGATCATAAATTTAAAATTGGTAAAGTTTTTCACAGTAGAAAGTTTTATTCCTCTCGTAGGACAGCCTTTGAAATAGCACCACAGGAATGGTAGCTACAATAGAACGCTGATATGTGTCAAGTGCTGTCCCTGTCATATCTCACTCTCATAACAATCTTCATTATACAAATGAGGAAAGTCGAGCTGAGAGAAACTGAAGAACTTTAGTTACCAGGCAATGGTGGAGCAGAGATTTGAACCCCTGTCCAGCTGCCATTCTGCAGGATGTGTTCTCAAACATTATACTCGTGCATGCTTTCTGCTGTGTGGCTATCTGGGTATCTGGCAATCACTGCTATTTCACAGAGGCTGCTGCCTGTGACCTGGCCACAGTCCCCTCAAGAGGTAGAATGTGCTTCCTCTCCCCTTCATCCTGGGCTGTCTCTGTGACTGTTATGATGGATAAAATGTGGCAAAAGTGAATGTGTAACTTCCAAAGATGATCCTTAAGAACTCTCCAGCTTCAAAAGTTTGGCTTCTTGGTACATTCTTTCTGGAGCCCAGCTGCTATAATGTAAGAAGATCTGAGTGGAGAATAAGAAAGACCGTGCCCCCACCCCCCAGCTAACTTCCTCAGCTGAGCTTCCAGAAGGAAGCCAACATCCAGGACCACTTACAGAATTTGCAAGGTCCATGGCAAAATAAAAACTTGAACTCCATGCAGGATCAGGGAAGTCAGGTTCCCTGCCCTTGTGCCCAATGCCCTGATGCACTTCGGGTGGGTAACCCCCAAGGGATTGTAGCCTCTGCACCGGACATGCTCAGAACCTGGACTGGCCAGGGTCCAGGGTTGTCTACTGAATGGGCCAGGATGTTACCAGCCCTGGAGGGACCAAAGCCCCTTTTCCCCACCCCAAGATGCTGCATGCCCCATGGTGCTATGCATCCCTGACCTTGGTCTTCTCTACAACCGCCTTCTGCCAGGGGCTAAGGGCAATGGCAGATCCCTGGCTTTCCACCTACCGATGTGACAGGGAAGAGGGAAGCAGTGATTATGGGGCAGGTGTGGGGTGGGGTAAACTTTGGGGAGCTCCCAGAGCCAGGGAGAGGGAGCCTGCACCCAAGAAGCTGTCCTGGGCAGTGGGGAGATGGGGCGAGGTGGTACTGCATATGGGGGAGTCTCCAGGTCCCCAGCATATGTTCCATTGTCACCTCATTAATCACTTTCTAAATTCAAATTCAAGGGTAAATGATTACCCTTAAGAATTTCAAGATGGCAACCATAGAGTATTGAAACCCCAGCGTGGTACCCTTCTAAGCACGAGGCCCTGTGTGACTGCACAGATCACACCTATGCCCACAAAGCCAGCCCTGCTAGCACCAACTGTGTGAGTGATCCTGCAATCCATTTTGATCCTGTGACCATCCTACAATCCCCTGCAGAAAAACCACCCAGTCAGCCCATAGACGATGAAACAGTTGGTGTTTTAAGTCGCTAAGTGTTGGGTTGGTTTATTACAGGGCATTTGATAACCAAAAGTCTTGCTGTCTTCCTCCTAAGTATTATGGGGTCACCGAGAAGTATAAGATACGATTTCTACCCTCAAAAAAATTACAGTGTAATTGGTGAGAAAGGAACACATGAATGGATTATTGGCCAGTATTAAGACTATTTAAAAGGGGAAAATTGGAAAAGTTAAATGCAATAACGCTTAAAAAACAGGTCTCTGGAGAGGTTACGATAGCCAAAGAAAGCTGTCTCTGGGAGGAAGAACCACAGGCAGACTTTGAAGTCTAGATAGTATCTGAGCCAGTGGACATGCATGGCCTCCCTGGCTGTCTACTACACTCACAGACAGGTAGCAAGCACACAGGTTAAAGCACAGAAAATATAACTCCCGGATTAAAACCTGAACCACTCAGCTTCACCCACCTTACTCCTTGTTCCTACCTTCTCTCCATCTCTTGACCCAGCCTTCATTTTTGCCTCTGGTTAAACCCTTTCAATCCAATGAAGAAATCAAATTCTTTGGCCTCTGATCTTGTTTTAGCTCGCTGGTTGCACGTTTTTCTTTTCTGGACAGCTTATAGATGCTAAACCCCTAGGATCCTAGGATCCTCCCCTCCTAAAGCCATAGGACTCGACATCTATAGATAGCCCTTCCTGTTCAATACACAAATCTGAAGCTCATTAGAATATAAAACCACCTTGGAGGATTTACACAAAGTGCCATTTCCCACACTTATTTGTCCATGGAGCCCTCTTTTCCTAGATCATATTTTAGCCCCTCACATCACAATTCAGGAAATGCTACCTTGGGCAAAATTCCTACAAGTTGATTTATAGCATCTGTATTTTTAACAAGCTTCCCAGATGAGTCTGATATTCACCAAAGTTTGGGAAACTCTGTTTTAGACTTACATAAAATTGAAGTTATAATAGTCATTCCATAACTTTTAATCAGTCTCTCACTCCCTCATTCTTTAAGACTCAAATATAAAATCCTTCAAAACTCTATAACCATTCATAATTAAAACTGAATTTATTAGCTGCTTGAAAGTTATCAAAGTTTAAATCTGGGACATCATCTTTGCCAAAGTATTTTATTATATTGGATTCTTATTTTCTCTACCTCTGCATGGTGCTAGGATTCAGGAATCCTAAATTTTTTTATGGCTATTCAGCTAAGTACTTTATCCCCTTCTGTGATATGGAATTTAACATTTAACATAGATAAGCTGGCACAAGAGATTTGGGAATTACACTGACCTGGGTTTTGAATCTTGTTGGCAATGCCTACTAGCTGTGTGATATTGGGCAAATAATTTAAGATATCTGGGCTTCAGATTCCTTGCCTGAAATCAGAACAATAATATCTACTTTATAGGCTGGTTTTGAAAATTAAAAGAGATTCAATATATAGCTAGTAAAAATAATGGTACCTCAATAAATACTGGTGCACTCTCTCTTCTCATATGCCTTAGTCTCTTGAAGGCCCAAAGCAGCTAATAATATTTTACCTATCTGCCAGGGAGTTATAGAAATAAAGTAAGGTTATGTAGGTTAAAATTGCTTTGAAAAAGTGAAAGACATTTTATCAACAGGAAAGAATAGTATTTTCTGTTGATAACATCTGAAGTTTTTTTAAAAGTTTTTTTGGGGAGAATTATTTCCATTTCCATTTTTAAAGTATTTAACATTTGCTTTCAGTTTTAAATCAAAATAAAAACATTTAAATAGTGTACATGTCTGTGTATTCATTAAATATTTATTAGTGCTGGTACTAAAAGTTCTTGATTCTAACTACATGTCCTCATTGCTATCTTTGTTTCATGTGTTTTTCATTTTTCTTCTTCAGTAAAAATTTTAAACAAACCCATAAATATCCCTCAACCCCAAAACACACACACAAAAGTTGTCGACAGCCTCACTGCCCATTTGAATAGAAGTTAAGATTTAAATGCATATCTCTTCTCATTTCTGGTTTTATGCAAGGTTAGGAGAGGAAATATGGAAGAGAAATGGAAAATGAAACTTTTGGTTAAGGCCAGTTTATTAAATGAAAATGACCCCAGGTATTTTTATTTAAACCTAAATTATACCAGCAAGGGCCTAGCATTCATCAGGTCCTTTTGTAATTCTCACAGATTCTGCTAAGTGAGTACGGAGTCCCAGGAATGCAAAATAACAGCAATATTTTTAAAATAGAAAAAGCAAGGATGCAAAATTTCATTACCCCAATATATCACCTAGCGTCAAGAAGCATAATGCAAGTTCTCTATCTGAGTAAGATTGTATTGACTGTGTGTACAATTTGGTCTATTAGTCTG